GGGAGCATGGGTTGTTATGGGTGATTTTAATGACATTGCCTCTATGGACGAGGTTTCACCTCACTCAACTTCTGTATACCATCGAGCCCATAAGTTTTGTCGTCATTTGGAATACTGCGGATTAATGTCTACTGATGCTCTGGGTTGTAAGTACACATGGTGTAGAATGCAACATGGTCGGGTCAAGCTTAGAGAGCAATTAGATCGGGTTTTGATGAATTCTGCAGCTCAAGTAATGCTACGAGGGCCGAAAACTATTAATTTGCCACGGACATGTAGTGATCATCATCTTGTGCTACTTGATTTGGATACTGCTGCATCACTTCCTCCTGCAAATAAACCCTTAAGATTTGAAGTGTCCTGGTTATCTCGAAAAGAGTTTAGTCGAGTCTTTTCGATGGCTTGGAATCTACATTCCAATGATCTATTGCAGGCTATTCAGGAGACAAGTAGAGCATGTGTTGCATGGGGCAAATCAATGTTTGGAAACATATTTCAAAAGAAGAGACTGTTGAAAGCAAGGATCGCCGGCATTCAGAATTCTCCGCGCTATCATAATTCCGATAGGCTCAGGGATTTAGAAAGAGAATTACTTCATGAATGCCAGCAAGTTCTATATGAAGAAGAATTGCTATGGTTTCAAAAATCAAGGGTAGATTGGATTGCCTCCGGGGACAGAAACACTTCATTCTACCATTTATCAACAGTAATCAGGCACAACAAGAATAAAATTGGAGCTTTAAAGAAAGATGGGGTGTGGATCTCGGACACAGCAATATTAAGTGCTCACGTTCGGAATTTTTTCATAGAGCTTTTTAGTAGCAGGGATACTAGTGCATTAAGGGAAGATCTTGTGAGTTTCAACGTATAATCCCCACTTGGGAACATTACCAGCTAACTCAACCTGCTACTTTGGAAGAGATCAGGGTGGCTTTATTCTCCATGAAGGGATTGAAGAGCCCAGGTCCTGATGGTATTCAAGCTCTATTCTACCAAAGACATTGGAATACTATCTCGAGGACCTTCCTTGACTTTGTTAATCAGGCTCTTTTGACTGGCAGTTTTGATCCAAATTTAACAAAAGCTTATGTAGCCTTGATACCCAAAGAGGATTCCCTTGATGTCATACAAAAATTTAGGCCCATTACTCTTTTAAATGTGGCATATAAAGTATTGTCTAAAATTATTGTTAATAGACTACGACCTCATTTACAGAAGATTATTGGGCCATATTAGAGCAGTTTTTTGGCAGGTAGAAGTACAGTGGATAACATTATCATCACGCATGAAGCTGTCCACTCCATGAAGCATTTAAAAGGGAAGAAAGGAGCTATGGTGCTCAAGATTGATTTGCATAAGGATTTTGACAATACCAACTGGAATTTTCTTAGGCAAGTTTTGGTTGATTTCAACTTTCCAGAGCAGCTAATAAATTTAATTATGTTCTCTGTCACTTCAGTTCAGCTTTCTGTACTATGGAATGGGGAACCATTGTCTTTTTTCACTCCGGAGAGAGGGCTGCGGCAAGGGGACCCATTATCGCCTTATTTATTTATTTTAGTCATGGAGAAACTTGCACACATTATCCAGAGGAGAGTTTCGACTGGGAATTGGAAGCCTTTTAAAGTTTCACGAGGGGGTGCGGCTCTTTCACACCTTTTTTATGCCGATGATCTAATGTTGTTCGCAAAAACCTCGGAATCACAATTAAGTGTTATGATGGATTGTTTGGATAGTTTTGCTAAGAGTTCTGGACTGGTGTTGAATCTTCAGAAGTCAAAGCTCTATACCTCTCCAAATGTTCAACCTACTGTGGCTAATGCACTAAGTCTTGCGTGTGGTATTCCGCTTACTTCCAATTTGGGGACTTATTTGGGCATCCCTATTAGTCATGGTTGTCACTCCCATAAAAAATATCAGTACATATTAGATAAAATGCAGCAGAAACTAGCCAACTGGAAGAGTGCTAATCTAAGAGTATGGCTGGTAGGTGAGTTCTCATCCAATCAGTTACTTCATCTATTCCTGCCTATACCATGCAATCGGTGTTGCTCCCTAAAGCCACTTGTGACAATATTGATAGACTAAATTGAGATTTCCTCTGGGGAAGATCTTCTGGCACACATAAATTGCATCTAGTAGGTTGGGATGTAGTTTGTTCAGAGAAAAAGGCTAGTGGACTTGGACTACGAGCAGCGAGGAATAATAACAAAGCTTTTGTCTCCAAACTTGGTTGGAGGATTTTCAGGGGTGACAATGCTTTATGGTGCCAAGTTTTACGGGGTAAATATCTACGTGGAGCAAGTTTTTTTTATGTTATGGCTGCACAACGTTCCTCTCCCATCTGGCGTGGAATTCTTCAATGCCGATCAGTGTTGAGAATGGGAATTAAATGGAGGATAGGTTTTGGGGAAAATATTGATTTCTGGAAGGATTTATGGGTAGGTCACAAGCCTCTGAACAGCTATTGGTTACAGGGTAGTTTTGAAGCTCCTCCTACACTGAAAGTTGCAGAGGTAATAACTCAGGATAAGGAATGGGATTTAGAGGCCTTACACGATCTTGTTTCGGATGAGTTAGTAGATGCAATACGGGCCATACCCTTATCCAATTCACTGCAGAACGAAGACAACATGTTCTGGGCTGGCACGAGAGACGGTTGTTTTTTAGTTAAGTCAGCATATCAGATAATTCAAGAGCAGCGGAATCTCCAGTTCTCAAATGATCAAGCATGGAGTTGGATCTGGAGACTTAGTAGCACCGAGAGGATTCGAATGTTTGTGTGGTTATTGATTAGGGGGAGAGTTCTTACAAATTCTATATGCTTTGCTCGGCACATAGTATCTTCTCCAATCTGTCCGCGATTTGAGTCATCCATTGAAACTCCTTTGCATCTATTACGTGACTGTTATTTTGCTAAAGCGTTGTGGGGATTGTTGGGTTTTAACACTCCAGAGTTTTTTGCTTTGGATTTCTCAACATGGCTAAAGAAAATGTCTAGGCCTCCAAGCTCAAATGCTCAGGATACATTGCCTAGAGACACATTATTTCTCTCGACGATTTGGCACCTCTGGAAGGCTAGGAATGCACTTATGCACTTATCTTCAGATCGCTTGTCTCTCGACCTCAGGATCTATGTTCCACTATTGTACAGCATGCTCGGTACACACAACTAGCCATGTGTCCTTTGCATTCCCATCCTAAACTTCCCCGCTGGGTCCGTTGGGTACCACCGGGAGAGGGTGTCTGTAAGTTAAACATAGATGGTTCTTATAACCATGAAATGGCTTCTACGAGTGCCGGTGGTCTGATTAGAGACACAATAGGACGCTGGATTTCAGGTTTTATTGTCAATATAGGCAGTGCATCAGTTCTTCTAGCAGAATTGTGGGGATTAAGAGAAGGACTTCGCCTTTGCAGAGCCTTGAATCTCACCCATGTGGTAGCTGAAATGGATTCTATGATTGCTGTCCGACTCATTAATGAAGGCCGGGACCTGGAGAATTCAACTACCAATTTGTTATTAGATATACGAAACTTGATGGCTGAGTTTGAGGTTTGCACTTTACAGCACATCTTGCGTGAAGGTAACTCTGCAGCTGACTTTTTGGCTGCTTTGGCACACTCCTCTTCTCCAGGCACCACCATTTTGGACTCTCCACCAACTGGACTATACTCTATCCTGATAGGGGACTCTATTGGGGCTAGTTTCCTCCGTTACTAGTTTTTTTCTGCGCTGTTGTTTGCTTAGTTTTCATTGATGTACCAAAAAAAAAAAAAAATTATTTTATACTTCCACGTCAAGGAAATTAATAATTTATCAAACTCACATGGCAATGAAAATATGGGACCCAAAGCCTAGACAAAAAATTAAGACGATGTCAAATCCTACCGACTAAGCAAATATTTTAATAAATATAAATATTAAAAGTTTTAACAATCTATATATATATATAAAATACTACCCTATGCATTATATAGGGTAGCATTTTATATATATTTAATATATAATAATATAATAATATATATTTACTATATATTTATTATATATTGATTATTTACTATTGTATAATAATAATAATATGTGGTTACAATTTTTTTTAATTTTTTCGTTTTCTTCTTTTTTATATACAATGTCTTTTCATCTTCCTACTCACCTATATATAAACCATCACTTTCTCTACACCAATATATTATATTCTTCTCTTTATCTCTTCAATTTCATTTTATTAATATGGTGAGTTTCAAGTTTATCTTCT